GCGTCAAGCCCCCGGCGTTGGGACGGTTGGCGGGGCCAGTCCGGAGCGTGAGGACGTCGGCGCAGGTTACAACAGTGAGGATGAGTATGAAGCGGCTGCAGCACGCATCGAGGCCATGGACCCTGCCACTGTTGAGCAGGTATGGGCTGGGAATGACAGGTGAGCGGGTATGGTGGATGGTATGCCCAGGCTGAGTAGGGACCCAGGGGACTTGCACGTCACCTCCCTGAGCCTGTCATTGTTTTTCTCTGGTGGTAGGGGCATGAGACACCATGTTTACTTGCCCCTTTTCCCCAAGGTCTTGAGGTTAGAGGCCCGAGATAAGACGAAGGACTTAAAAACGGTGTTTGTGGTCTCTTCTGGGTCCTGGGACCTCATCTTGTAGGGCCAGTAGGTGGGAACTCCCCAGGAGACACAGGCAGGATGAAATGCCTCCTGGGAAGGGAGTCTCATGACTCTCCAAGGGACCTTGGTCTGTGTTCAGTGGCATGAGATTTGTTTTTCTCTGTCCCAAGATATCTAAACCCTTTCAGGGTTGTGAGACACTCTGTATAGGACAACCTCCCTCCCCCTTTCCTTCTCAGGGGGACACAGCACAGGACCCTCAGCAGTGGGGTCTGACATTTCTTCAGGGGTCCTAAGACTGCCTTCCATGGCCTGAGACTTTTCTAAAATCAAGGCCCTGAGACACACATGCATCCCCTTTAGTGTGAGGGATCTTCTGAGCTTTTCTCCAGGGATATGACTTTTTTGGGGGAGATAAGATTCCCTTCCCCTTGGGGACAAGCGCCAAAACCAATAGCCAGGGACCAGAAACTCTCCTGGGGTACAGGAGACTCATTCTCTTAATTGACAAGGGTCTGTGCTTCCTCTCAGTATCTGAGACCTCCTTGGGCACAAGAGTCTGAATCTCTCTCCAGGAGATAAAACTTCTTTTAAGTGATAGACCTTTGGCCCCTCTCCCCCACCCCCACCAGGCCTGAGGCTTTCTTCAAGAAAATGAGACTCACTGTTTTGGACACTGGAGCCTAAGATTCCCCCTGTTTAAGGAGTCAGGCTTTCAGAGACTGGGTGTGAAGCCTCTTCAGATATCACCCCTCAGAGATCCCAGGCAAAGCGAATTCTTTAGGGGACCTTTCTTCTCAGAGCCTGGTATCTGAGTGATTTTCTTGGGGGGCCTGAGACGCCACCACCCCCGTCCACACACAGAGAGGTCTATGGGCTCCTTCTACCCAGTTAGGAAGGACTAAAACACACCTTGGGGACGTAATAGTCCCCTCTCCCCTGTAATAGAGATCTAAGTATCCCCCCTCCCCCTAGTGTCAGGGATGTTAAGATTTCTGCCTTGGGAACTCAATCCTGAGATCTAGGCAGCGTGGAGTCCCAGAGATGGAGTCTGAGGCCTTCCCACAGACCTAAGCCTGCCTTCAGGGGCCTGAGACCCACTGTGCTAAGGACACTTGAGCTTTCTCTCAAGGGCAAGCGGCCCTTACTTGCCCCAGTGACTGCTGTGTCTCCACAGATGAGATCTGAGCTCAGGCATAGAACCTACCACCAGAATGAATTCCTGAGACCCTTCCCTTGGGGGCATAGGTACAGCGTTCCTGGGGAATACGGTCCTGAGTCTCCCATCCCCGCACAAGAATTTGAACTTGTCCGCATGTACATGAGACATCTCCCCCGCCTTAGGATCTGAGACCTGGGCCTACCCTGATAGTATTGGCTGTTACCTCACTTCAGACAGCACACATAAACTTGAGTCATAGCGGCCTTTTAGGGGCATGAGATTTCCTGTCTTTGAGCCTAAGACCACCCTCCACTTGTGAACTAAGTCCTAAGAACTGCCCTCTCCCCTGGGGGGCATAGGTGTGGTGGGATTCTGAGATAAAGAATCTGAGCCTCCTCCCAGGGGCCTAAGCTTCCCCTTAGGGACAAGAGCGCCTTCACTTCAGGGAGTGGCCTGGGCCCTACGCTGCCATGGGTGTGAAGCCTCCCACAACCAGGCAATCTTTTATCGCCAGGGAGAAGAACATGCAGTCCTCCCAGTGTGGCCTAAGGCTTTCCCCACTGCACAGAAGTACCTAGGTGCTCTTAGCTTCAGGCCAGGAAGGTCTCCTTACTTTCTCTCAGAAGGATGTCAGTTACTGGGGACAGGGGACTAAGGCCTCTCCTCAAGAACTAGCAGATATTCAGAGACTCAGCCTGACCCAGCTCTGCTTGCTTCCCATTTCCAGGATCAGGGAAATATTCTGAGCTTCCTGAATTGCTTTCAACAAGCTTTTTTTCTTCCCAGCGACGGGAAAGAGGTCTGGGACATCCCCGCTCCAGGGAAATTCTCCACCCATATCCCTGTCCCCCTTGGCTCAAATAAACCTTTCTGTACTTCACAGGGGCCTGGGCCTTGTCTTGAGTCCCCTTCCTTGTTGCCTTTCCACCCATTACTACTCCAAGCAGGATAAATTGTCTCTGGATCCACTGAGTCAGGACCAAGAGTTGTTTCTTCTCTCCTTGGTTTGGGGTCAAGTCTGCCTTTCCTCCTTCACAGAATAGGGAGAGAGACATCCTTGGTCCCAGGGACAGAGAGGAAGAATGTCACATGTTGCCATGGTGACTAAAATGACACCTCCTTACACCCCCTTTGCATCTCGTAGGCTGGGAGTTCCTCCATTATACTTGTCCCCATAAGAACTTGGGGGTGAAGCTCTGTGGTTGCAGGATATCTTCCCTTCCCAACTAGAGGAAAAGCTTCCTCTCCTCGCACTTCTTGGGGTAAAAGGAGGAAGATGCTTCTCCCTGCCATACCTGGTCCGAGTTGGGACCCTCCGGGGACGTAAGAGGGGGACTGTCTTCCTGCTACCCCAGTCTTGGTCCTGAACTGTCACTGGGGCATTTGTATCCTGGAGGCCAATTAGAGCCCTTGGAAAGGGGAGTTGTGGAGAGGGAGCCCACATGGTGAATCTGGTCCTTGTTCTGGCTACTCAGACTTCCTGTTTGTCCCGATGCTGTGACTGTACCTCTGTTGCCTTTAGGAACCCCTTTGGCAACTTAGGGTCAGGGGTTTCCTTTCCTAGGCATGGCCGCCTTACTGAGAGTCTACTGTATGAAAAGAATGGCTTCAGAGCGTCCTCAGCTTGAGGACCCCACAGAGCATTCTGAGAATGGGGCATGCACACCAAGGTGGTGGGAGAGGCTGGGGCTGGCAGGATAGGCAGGGTGCCTGGGTTCCCATTCAGGCTTTGCTGGTCACCCAGAAGCCCCTGC